TTAAGTACACCATTAAACGTAAATCTCCTATTAAGTGAGGACAATATAAAAATCTTTAAAATAATTATGATATTTCTTGTAAAAATTAAATTAAAGGTATGAGTGTAAAATTGATTGTATGCTTGAACATTTCCTTTGTATGTTTACCATATATGTTGCCCACCTACCTAACCGTGGTTTATGTCTTGTTTGTTACAATAAAGCGACTCTGATGAATCCCTGAGCGTGAAAAGTGTCCTCCTTGTACAATCCTGTATAAATGAATACTAATATTTATATGTAATTACGTGGCTAAAGGTTTCAAGCCAAAGCCATAAAAAAAAAGAAAAAAGAAAAGATTTGGTATCTCTACGTGGCTACGAAGAGAAAGAAATACGCGATATTAGTTTACGTTATGCTTCTTTCTGTATTTAAAGTTTTTTTTGTTCTTCTTCTTCCTCTTAAGCAATAAGCAATTCTGCTTGTTCATTGGCGGGTTAATCCCTCTATGTGAGGTTGTCACTCCATATTTTGCGCAGTCGTCCGATACTTTCTTCTTCCGAGTGGTGACTTATCTTTTGCTATCTTGATGCTCCGTTCAGCTCGTGGAGATAAGAATAACGCTGAGGTCAGAAGACCCTGCCTGTCGTAAGTGGCGACTAATGGGAAGGAAATGAGAGGTGGAGAGCCGTCGTTTGAGGTGTCAGGTTTGTAGAAACGCACTCGAGATGCATAGTCATCTCGGTCACCGGCCTACACTCCTAGTATCCGAGACGAGCATCTCGTGGGACCACTCTAATCTCATTCCACAAGAGCCAGGTGAGGTTGAACGAGCTGGGCCCTAAATACCTCTCACACCACCGAGGTTGGTATCGGTGTCCCGGCACGTACCCACTTGGAATGATTTAAGAGTGGTAGGGGAGTGATCCTCGGCGGCGACCTGTCTACGTGCGAGGGGAATCCTCCGCCTGTGTCATCTTTTGCCCCCCACCGGGGGGTGAGGGGTGGCTACAACCGGACGGATGACGTACTCGCAACACAGGTACGACGGTTAAGGTGGAGCCCCACGATGTTTCGGCATCGTGGTGCCTTATTTGGGTGTATAGGTGTATAGAATTAAACAAAGGAGAGTTGCCATGTTCACCAATGGGAATCATTAATATGGATACTCAGCCAAACTGTATCTTAAATGAATTATAAAATAGAACTACCAACACTACTTGTAATATAATAGAATACACGATAAAGGAAGCCAGTTGGTTGAAAATGAGCACACCGAACTTCTGGCCTAGTCATTCCACCATACGTCGCACTATGAAAGAGAAGTTTTGAGTAAACCTTTGCACAACAATATAAATACCAAAGAAAAAATCAAAAACAATAAAAAAAATAGGACATTTCGTTTTAATCAGTTCACGAGAAATCAACTATCAAAATTAGCATAATTTTAAAATGGTCCATATCTAGTAATTGGGAAAACTCTCAAGTGATTTGCTTTCATATAATAAATAGTTTGTTTTAATTTCAATAAGCTGAATCACGTCACTAGAACATCTATTTATATATCGTGTATAGTAAAAATTGAATGTCAGATTCGTTAGTCTTTTGTTTTTGAAAGTTTCGACGTGGCGTATCGAGTGAGTAATTAAAGGAAGCCACACGTCGCAACATCTCATTTGACGGGACGCCTTTCTTTGAGTACCGCATTGATTTATGGCGGAGAAGATGAACACCATGTTTTTGCAATTAGCTCGTGGATATACTTCATATTTTTCACGGAATTTTTAATGTTACAAATGTTGCATTTTGATTTATTATTCAGCGAGGGGTCCGTGTGACTTTCAAATAGATTGATGGATGAAGTTGAAGATGTAGTGTTAAATACAGTGTTTTTACTATTGTTTGAAGTAACATTAAAGATTTTTGGATGATTTTAATTAAAAATTCGATTTTATTTTATTTTATCTTTTTCTCTAGGTTAATTTTTTATCATCATCGTCATTATCATCATCGCTATCATTAAAGCCTTGGCATCTTTGTATTAAAATATTAAATCCACCTGCACTTCTTTAGGTATTGTTATGTTGTGTTAAGTTGTAAATCTACCTTAATATTTGTAAACCTACCTTAACATTAGTGACATGTCAAATAGAAGAAGCCCGGGAGTGAAAAAGAAGGACAGACTTTGACAGCTGACAGACTGGTCTTATGGCTCTTTAGAGATAATTATGTATTAGTATTAGTTTGTCTTGTAATAAATAAAATATACAGAAATGAATCGTCTATTATAACAAAAAGCTTTTACAGAGTATAACAAATTTAGTGTGAGAAGTAAAAAAATGTAAGTTAAATATCGAAGAGCTATTTTAAGAGTTACAAAAGCCGAAACATAACCTAAAAATACGTGTTAGGGTGTTAAAATCAAAAAAAGATTTATTATTAAAAACAGTCAAGATATAAAATGGACATGGAAGAAAAAGATGCTGTCGAGCAGAACCAACCAGTCGTTGTAAATATAAAAAGTAACGTAGTCGGCAATAAAATTCAACCTTTGTCAATGGAGGGAAATTTGGCTTACAACTGGGAAGAATGGTGCATGAATAAAAATATTTTTGAGGGCGACAGGTTTAGAGGAGGAAAATAATGCGAGAGAGGTAGCTTTACTATTACACTATATTGGTCTAGATGCAAGAAATATTTACAAGTCATTTGAGGGTAACATGGATACTGTAAAATTTAAAGAGTTAATCGAGAGATTTGAAAATATTGTAACCCGAAGAAAAATTTAACAGTAGAAAATCATTATCATCTTACTAGAGTACAGGAAGATGGTGAAACCATTGAGGATCTCATGACTAGTTTAGAGAATTTAAGTTTAACCTGTGAACTAGGCATTTTAAAAGAAAGTTTGCTATGTGACATGTTCATTATTGGTTTAAATACTAAATACCATTCATTTAAGCAAAAACTATTGCAAGAAGTAGATCTGAAGACAGATATCCATTCCAGAGAAAAGATATCCATAAAGGAACATGGAAAATACCAGGAACTAACGAAGCCAATCAAATTGACCATATACTCATCTCAAAAAGATGGGCAACAGACATAACTAATGTCAGAACGTATCGCGGGCGAATTCTGACTCAGATCACTATCTTGTAGGGCAAATTACGGCAGAAATAGCGACAGTAGCAAAAGGGAAAAATATTCAAATCAAAAAATGGAATGTCGAAGGATTCAAAAGCGCAACAAAGAGACAAGATTACAGAAATGCTCTCCAAATAAAACTCAACCGAACTAGAGAGGAAGATACTGCAGAGGAGGAATGGAGACAATTAAAATCAATTATAACGGAGTCAGCAGAGGAAACTGTCGGAAAAGCCAAAAGGCAAAGAAATGCGGAATGGTATGATGATGAATGCAGAACTGCAGTAGAGGAAAAAAGGCAAGCTAGGCTTAACCAACTTCAAAGAAACACAAGAAATAGCAGTGAGATTTATAACGAAAAAAGAATACTAGCGACTAGAATATGCAGAGAAAGAAAAGAGAGGCTATGAAAAAACAAGTACAAGAAATCGTAAAGCATAACAACAGACGCGAAAGCAGAAAATTCTATAAATGCATAAAAGAAAGCACACAGTCGTTTAGACCAAAACTAACGATATGCAAAGACAAGCACGGAGAACTACTAACAGAGAAGCAAAAAATTATAATGAGATGGAAACATATTTCGAAGAAAATCTAAATGCAGACAATGAAATGATCAGAACGAGACAATATATTATACGGCGAGCTGCACATCGAAATCCGAGTTATGAAGAAGTAGTTCAGATAATAAATAAACTAAAAAACAATAAGCACCAGGAACGGACGGAATTTCGGCAGAATTATTAAAGCATGGAGGATCCGAACTCTGGGAAAGAATCCATTACCTAATAACATTAATATGGACGAAGGAGCAAATGCCAGAGGAATTGACAGTTGGCCTCATACAGCCAATATATAAAAAAGGAGATAAGAGGGAATGCCAGAATTATAGGCCAATTACATTGCTAAATGTAATATACAAAATTCTTTCTGGTATAATCTACAATAGATTACTAGAATACTCCGAAAATATAATTGGTGATTATCAAAATGGATTCAGACCAAATAGAGCCACTACAGATAACATATTCATACTAAGAACGATACAAGAAAAAGCTTATGAATACGACATAGACCTATATAATATGTATATAGACTTTAAACAAACTTTTGATAGTGTGAAAAGAGACAGAATGCTGGAAGACCTTTGTAGGCTGGAAGACCTTTGGTTGCTGCCTGTTTGCCATTGTAACGCCATCTTTGTTCAGATGGCGTTAGGATTTTAAATCTAAACTAACATAAAGCTTTAAATCATTTTGTATTAAATTCTCCCTTAAAAATGTGATTAAAATTAATTATTAATCATATTAATATGTAATTAATACAATATTATTATTAAACGCATCATTTCAAGAATAAAACATGATTGAAATGTCAAATGGTCGTAGTTTAGATTTCTTTTATAGATGGCGTCGTTAGTTTACTGGACAAACGGTGTGACTTGCCATCATAGCCTTTTATATAGATAGATTTATACCATTACTAACGAAAATATCAACCAAAAATTATTCTAATTATCTCTAAGATTCTAGAACTAATAATAATAGAGGGTTTCAAAGAGAATATAAAAATAACAGTATGTTGTTTCAATTACAAAAAAAGTTTTCGACAAAGTAGTTAAAGACGTTTTATTGCAATTTTATATAGAATAACGTTTGTCTTTTATAACCAAGATGAAGATTTTTGAATTCGTTTTCAACGTTTAAAGAAGACATGGATATTTAATAAGCAAAAAGGGTTTGTTTGACTGCTTTAACTCTTTCAATTTATCAGCGGTGATTTAGCCTGGAGCTTTTGCTGTGATTTATTTTTCCAAATACTTTTGATTTGTAATTTCCTTACTACTTCTAACATTCTGTTTCTTTTTGTTTCAGTTGCTTTGACAAATAACCTTACCGAAGACGACTTGCAGCGTTATTACCTCATTCCTGACACAGTATCTACAACTACCGCACCAGGAGTTCCTAGTGGTGAAACAACTCATGCTAGAAAAGAAGTAACTCCAGCTACCAGTCCCACCTCCAGCACGCAGGCTTACATAGGACTGATAACGGGAGCTTTAGCGATGGTTATTTTGTTGCTGGCCTGTACCGTGTTTTTGATGATCAGAAGAGGTAGAAAGAAGGTTGCCCTTCTTCACAAGCACACAGCTTTAGTATCGAGCAGCACCAAGCCTACCACTATCAACATGAAAGACTTGAAGAACAACATGTCCACTCCGATTATTAACAACGGACTTTCGCGCTCCCGCCTGTCGGTTAAAAGTAAAGACAACACCATAGGATCAGTTGCTTCTAAAAAGGCTAAAAAGTGCAATTTGTATGGAAACGTCGCAGGAGAGGAATCAGATAGTGAAAATTCATCAGTTTATCATGAGCCGTACAAACTACTGCCAAATCCCAAGCAGGAGTACGGTTGTTTGCTGAAGAAGGAGGGGCTCACTTCGAGCAAAAGTGGAGAGTATACAGGTAAGTGTTCTTCTTCTTCTTAAGGTGCCGTGCATTTCTGCGTAGGCGTCCACCGTACATCGTCTTGTCAGGTGAGTTAAATTCAGGATTAATAATTCTGTTTTTGCAGCATGCAAGCATTTCATAGCTGTGGATTGTGAAGCCTCAAAAAAGCATTTCTGGCTTGTTCAACTCTGCTCTTTATTTCATTCTCGGGGTCCCAACCCTCGTTCAGCAAACAACCCAAGTATTTGAATTGCCTGACCTGTTCGATTTCTTCTCCAGAGACATATATCTTTGCGTTGGGGTAATCATTTCTACTTACAATCATTGTTTTTGTCTTCTTGATATTTATTTTCAAACCCCGAGCTTTACTTGCAAGAGTTAGATCATTTAAAAGGCATTGAAGATCTTCGATGTTATCTGCCACTATGGCTGTATCTAACGGCATACCTGATGATATTAATCAATATGCCGTTAACTTTAATACCCTTATTAGAGTCTGCCACTGCTTCTGCGAAGGCTTTTTTCTATGTATAAATTGAACAGCATTGGAGATAGTATACAACCTTGCCTTACTCCTTTTTTAATGGAGAAATCTTCTGTTTCGTTGAAATTTTGAAGACGACTGTTGCTGTCTGGTTCCAATACAGATTGGCGATAATTCTTTTATCCTAGGCATCCAATCCCAACTCTTGTAGGTATTTTATCATCAATTTGGTAGGTAAGTGTAATCATTTGGTAGATATATTGTTCAGTTGTTCAAATGGTTTAAACTCGATAAACAATATAATTTTAAGGGTTATAAGATTGTTCGTCGCGACTGATATGACTCTTACGCGAGAGTGGCTACACTTATAAAATCTATTCATCGTTTTGAAGAAAGTTGTATTATATATAATATTAATGACGATATACTTGTTTGTGGAATCACTTTAAAATATAACTCTGATATTAATTTTGCTTCAATTTATAGACCTCCAGATATTCGATCGACTTCCACAAATTGGTGTAAAATATTGGAACAATTTAATTTTCCTTGCATTGTAGGTGGTGATATGAATGCGCATAACAGCTTGTGGGGTTCACTTAAAATAATGGCATTGGGCACCAACTTATTATTGTCATTGACACACTTGATTTAGTTGTTCTTAATAATGGCAAACCAACCTGTTAACCCGCCCGAATGTGACACAATCTAGTATTGATATTACGTTGTGCTCTCCTGATTTAGCAAAAGAAGTAATGAATACATTCTTCCAAAGTCCAAATGGAATGTTAATAAAGCTAATTGTACCCAATATTCTGATCTGAATCAACAAGTGGTTAGCATTTTAAAAATATAAATGTTGTATATGAAATCCAGCAACACAATCTAATTTTTTTAGAAATTTATTTTAAATTTTTGAAGCTGTTGAGTATTTCTTTATATGTGTAAAACAAAACAGAATACTCGTTTTGCTTTTGTTTTAATTTATATAATTTTGGTTTTATCAGTCTTTACACCACTCTCAAAATACTTAGTCTTTTGTTTCTAATTAACAGCTATATATAACAAGCGAGTCTTCTACAGCTGGCGCCGCTTCTCGCATCCTAATTTCCAGCATTTTCAGTCGTAGCAATCTTCAGTTGTTAGATCTCTGGCGGTCATTGCATCGTCGACATCGTCTCTCCAGGATCGTCTTGGTCTACCTCGTTTTCTTCTAGTTGGCGGAGTCCATTCTTCTATTTTTTTTGCCATCTGTTTTCCGGCATTCTCTGAAGGTGTCCATACCAGTTAAGTCTTCTGGCTTCGATTGTGTCTATTATGTCTAGATCGATTTCCATTTCTCTCCGATTATCTTCGTTTCTCACCCTATCAAGTCTAGTGAGCTGGCAACATCGTCTCCAGTAGTTCATTTCCATGGCCTTAATTTTTGATTTGTTTCTTTGGTTCATTTCCCAGAGTTCGGCGCCGTACAGTCCAATACTTTCTATTATTGTTTTTATAAATTCTTTCTTTTATTTTCTTTTGTTATTTTTTTATTCCATAATAGTCCGTGTAGCTGTCTGGTGGCTGATCTTGCTTGGCCAATCCTGGAATGTATTTCTTCGCTACATCCTGTTTTTGATGTTATTTCGGACTCCCAAGTACTTAAAATTGTCTGTTGGTTTTATAGTTCCCATTTCTATTTGTAGGGCTCTCTGGTTTTTCTCCTACAACTAAGTACTCAGTTTTTTGTATATTAATTGTGAGGCCCCATTTGGTGTACTCATCTTCCAGTTTTCTAAGCATGTAGCTTATATCACTCTCGTCTTCAGCTAGTATGGCTTGGTCGTGAGCGAAGTATATCGTGTACAATCTATCATCTCCGATTGGGATGCCCATATTGCAGCACTTTCTTCTACACAGTGAGAGTGCCTCATTTAGATATATTTTGAAGAGTTGCCTTAGGCCCTTACTAATAGAAATTTCTCTAGTTAATTCTATTTCCAGTTTTAATGTTTGCCGTCATATTTTTGTAGAGCTGTTGTACTGCTTGTATTTTTTTTTTTTGCTTATTCCTTGTTTTTCCATTGCTACCCAAAGCATTGAAAGTGGTACACTATCGTATGCCCTTGTCAGATCTATAAAGACTATATGAGTTGAAAGGTTGTGGGCCAATCTTTTCTCGGTAACTTGCTTTAGAGAGAATATACTGTCCATGCAGGATCTGCCTGCACGAAAGCCATTCTGTTCTTCTACATCTGTCATCTCTTTTTAAATTTTATTTTTTATTATTTTTCCATACAGTCTTGAGAGTGAAATTATGACACTTAGCCCCCTGTAGTTTGAACAATTATTTCTATCTCCTTTTTTGTAGATGTTAATATGTGCTTTTGTCCACTCCGGTGGTAAGTCGTGTCCATTATAGAATAAGGTGAAGACATACGCCAGTAATTCCCGTAATACTTGTAGGCTATGTTTTAATAATTCATTTGGTATACCTTGTGGTCCGCATGACTTCCGATTTTTTAGAGTTCGTATTGCATTCTCGACTTCCTGTACTGTTATTTCATCGTCTTCACTGAATTCCAGTTCATATGTTGTTGTACTGATGTTCGTGAATTGAGGTCTTGTTTCAGTCAAAAGTTGTGAGTAGTGTTCGATCCAAGATTTTTCTTCTATTAAATCTATTCTACTCGTTTATTTTCTGTTTGTTCTCAGATTTTTTACCGTTTTCCATGCTTCTCTTGATCTTGTTGACCCTATATATTTGTTGAGTTCTTCGCATTTACTTTCCCAGGAAATATTTTTTGCTTTAGTTACTAAATTTTTTACTTCTCTGTTTGATCTTGCATATGTTCGTCTATCATCTGGATCATTTGTTTGCAGCCACTTTTGATATGCTTGTTTCTTGTTGTGTACTGCATTGGCGATGTCATTTGTCCACCACAATGGAGTATTCTTTTTGTTCTTTTGGATTGTGCCGAGCGCTTCGTAAGCTGCTTCATTAATTTTATTGATTATCTCTTTATAGGTATTCTGGGCTGAGGAGTAGATCAGGTTTGCCAATTTTTGGCTAAGTCGCAGCTTATATAAGAATGATGTCGAGTCGTTTTGCAGTGCATCAATATTGTATTTAGGTAGATTCGATTCCAGGGGTTTTGATTGAGCTAGTTGGTTGTCATTTTGATGTAGTAGCCGAGGTCGATACTGTAGGTAACATTTCGATCTTACCATATAGTGGTCAGTTCCGCACTCCGGTCCTCTTAATACTCTTATGTCTTCAACTTGTATGTGTGTTTCTTGTTTTGTGATGACATAATCTATATTGACTTTTGTTTTTCTCGTTGGTTGAACCCAGGTGTACTTATGTATGTTTTTATGTTGGTAGAATCCGTTTAGGATTTTCAGAGAGTGCTGTTCACAGAATTCGATTAAGTGTTCTTCCTTTTTCATTTGTTTTAGCGTCACCATATTTTCCTACGACTTTGTCATTTATTTTGTTCCTGTCCAAGCGTTAAAATCTCCCAACAGCACAATTTTCTTTGCGGCTATTTATATTTTCAATGAGTTCTGATAAAGTTTCGTAGAATATTTGTTTAGCTGCTTTTGATGCATTTTCTGACGGAGCATATATTCCAATACTCTAATAATTCTCTCATTGATCTGCTCCCAGCTTTTCAGGTTTCCTAATTAAACTAAATTCTAATTTCTAAGTTTCCTAATTAAACTAATTTCACTAAATTCCTAATTAACAGCTTTAGTTATAATTTTTTCCTTTAAAGGGAAGATTGTAGTAACTTTTATCTTGTTGTTGTTGTTCTTTTTGTAGTAAAAAGCAATTGAGTTTTATTAACGAAACTTTGCTGATTGAAGAAGCAAACATTATTATATATGTTAAGAAATTTGGTATTATGTATTAATGTTCTTATACTGATGATGAGATTCAAATAATTGTATAACTTTCAGCTTCATTCCATTTCCATTTTGCTCACTGCAGTATTTTATATTTGTTTCCCAAATATATTTTCAAATGGATCTCAGTAGATAGTATCTTAGTGTTCTTCTTTTTCCAGCTTTTGATGCCTGGTTTCTTTCAGTCTTCCCCCGTTACTATTTTCCACCACATCTTCCGTCTACCTCTCTTTGTTTCTTTGTAACTTTCTTCTTTATTTTAGAATTTACGATAATGAACTATTTTCTATCAAGATTTGATTAAGGTGTTCTTGTAAAATTGTAGTCGTAAGTTTTTAGGTGATTTTAATTAGTTTTTTGTAGTTTGATACTTCTGTAGTTTTTTGTTGTTTTTTTTTGCGCCTTATTTGAATAGCAGGATTAAGTCGCTAGTTCTTTATTCTTGTGGTATATTATTGGGTTTTATAATTTCGTTTATGAATGAACTCCACAATATTTCAGCAGTTCATTTGGTATCCCATAATTTACTGCAGCTTTTCTATTCTCTAGCATATCAAGTGCTTTTTGAAGTTCCTCTGTGTTTATA